GAAAGAGAGATAAAAGAGTGAAAGACAGCTAGACAGACATAGAGAGAGAAAGAGAGAGAGAAGAGTGATAAGTGAGAAAGAGACAGAAATGAAAAGAGATAGAGAGAGAGAGAGGGACATAGAGAGAAAGAGATAGAGACAGAGATAGAGAGAAACAAAAGATGAGTGAGAGATAGACAAAAACAGAAAGAAAGAGAGTGAAAAGAGATGATCGAGAGAAAAACATAGAAAAAGAGAGAGATAGAGAGAGAAGAAAGATGAGCGAGAGAGACAAAGAGAGAGATAGAGAGAAGATAGATGAGTGGGAAAGATAGGGATAGAGAAAGAAAAAAGATGAGAGTGATAGAGAGAAGAGAGATGAGCGAAAGACAGAGACAAAGACAGACAGACAGACAGAGAAGAGTGATGAGTAAGAGAGAGAAAGACAAAAGAGAGTGGAAAATGAAAAAATTGGTGAAAAGAGACAGACAAAGAGAGAGAGAGAGAGAAAAAGAGCGAAAAGAGATAAACGAGAGAGAGACAGGGAGAGATGAGCGAGAGAGATAAAGAAAAGAGAGAGAGAAGAGAGATAAGAGAGATAGAGAGAAGAGAGATGAGCGAGAGACACAGAGAGAGACAGACAGACAGACAGAGAAGAGTGATGAGTGAGAGAGAGAAAGAGAAGAGAGACAGAAAAAAAACAGAGAGACGGAGAGAAAGAGAGCGACAGACAGACAGACAGATAGAGAAGAGTGATAAGTGAGAGAGAGAGAGAGAGAAAGAAAGAGAAGAGAGACAAAGACAGAGACACATAGAGAAAGAAAGAGACAGAAAGACAGAAAGAGAGAGAAAGAGCGATGGGTGAAAGATAAAAAATAAATTTTATTTTACATTCAGCGACTAAATTATTTTAGTTGCCAAAACTATATATATAGTGACCAAAATATTTTTTAACCGCTGAAATTAAATTTTTGCCGACCAAAATTTTGGTCGCCAAAGACAAAAAATAATTTTTTATTTTTCATTCAGCTACTAAATTATTTTAGTCGCCAAAACTATGTATACCACGACCAAAATAAATTTTAGTCGCTAAAATTAAAATTTTGCCGACCAAACTTTTGGTCGCCAAAGATAAAAAATAACTTTTTATTTTTCATTCAGCGACTAAATTATTTTAGTCGCCAAAACTACCTATACCGCGACTAACATATTTTTTAGTCGCTGAAATTAAAATTTTGCCGACCAAACTTTTGGTCGCCAAAGATAAAAAATAAATTTTCATTTTTCATTCAATGACTAAATTATTTTAGTCGCCAAAACTATTTATACCGCGACTAACATATTTTTTAGTCGCTGAAATTAAATTTTTGCTGACCAAACTTTTGGTCGCCAAAGATAAAAAATAAATTTTTATTTTTCTTTCAGCGACTAAATTATTTTAGTCGCCAAAACTATCTATACGGCGACTAACATATTTTTTTAGTCGCCAATTGTGGAAAATTTAGCGACTAAATTTTTTTTAGTCCCCAATTGTGAGCTTTTTAGCGACTAAATTTTTTTTAGTCGCCAAAAATTAATATACCCCGACTAAAAAAATTTAGTAGCTAAATATTGTACTTTTACCGACTAACATAATTTTTGGTCGCCAATTCCACAACTTTTGGCAACCAAAAGATTTTTAGTCGGCAAAAGTGGTCGCCAAAGCTGTATTTTCTTGTAGTGAAAGTATGCCCCAATTACACTATCATGTCATATGATCTCTGAGGAGATAATTCCTCCCTAAATAAAAGGTTTAGTGATAGTCTAAACTTGATTACCACATTTCTTATGCATAACTAGCTCTAAAGAATAAAAAAATAGAAAGAAAAAAACAAAATGGAACTTGGTGTAGAAACACTACAAGAAAGAATGTATGATCATATGTTTTTCTCAATTAAAGTTACATAGTTGTAGTTATCATAAAATAAGTCTTAATAACATAAATCCAATACACTATCTTAGCAAACAACAATAAATAAAATAAAATAAACCATAATAAGCATGTTCATGTTAGCAGAGATGACAATTTTTATTTTTTTGCAATCCAAAAGAAAATAAAAATTGACAGTAATTAAAAAGGATTTGCTCAATTATGAAGTGATTAGAAGCTTGGAGTATTTGAATTATGAGTGTCTCTGCAATTGAATTCCCTTCAACTGTATGCATTTGCAGCAAAAGGCCTAATAAGTACAAAACACATACTAAATGTAAGGAGGTGCAATATATCAATGAACAATAAAAGTACTAAAAGTGTAGGTGATTTAGACTTTGCTGTTTCAATAGAAAACTATTTTTTTGTATTTGATTCTGATCTTAAAAATGATGGTGTATTGGTTGTAATAGTGGTGGTGTAGGTGATGGGAGAGTGATTGGAGTTGATGGTGGCAGAGATGGTGGCAACCTCAAGAATAATGGTTTGTTAGAGCAATTCCAACTCTTATTTTTTATTTTTGTCAAATTTAAATTTGGTAAAAAAGTGTTCAAAAATCATATTCAATCTATTTATCAAATATAGGGCGAGGCTATGGTACACATTTTTGTAGTATATATGTTATGCATTTTTATGATAAATGTTATGTAATTTTTTCGTATAGTTATGATAATTTCTATTTAAGAAAAAAATTAGATATTTTGTGGTAATGCTAGGCATTTTTGTGGTAATGTTACAAATTTTTTTTTTGTTAGAAAATGTTTGGATAAAAAAAGGTTAACATTATCACAAAATGTGTAAGTTAATTTTTGAACCACAAATTGGTGTAATTTTACTAAAAAAATTACATAATATTTATCATAGAAATACATAATATTTATCACAAAAATATATAACGTGGTGCATAAAATTTCTCTTCAAATATTAATCAAATCAACGGAGAAACATTTTTTTGCGTCAAATTAAAATTTGATAAAAATTTAAAAATGAAGTATTGAAGATGATTTTTTTTTTTTTATCAAATTTTGACGAAATGATAAATAAACCTGACATTCAATTTTATTGAACTGGAAAAAAAAAAAAAAAAAAAACTCAAATAACATGATTTGAAAACTTGAAATGAGTTTTGAATTTTTTTTTATCCAAATCATAATTTGAAAACTTAACCAAATGCTACGCTTATCTTTCAAAACACAACTCAGAACTCAATTAAAAAATTAAACCAAATGGAATCATATTTTTTTTCCCCCAAGTTTGTTTAGCATAGAAGTAATGGAAGTAACAAGAAAAATATAAGAAAATTCAAATTTATTATAAAAGTAATTATTTATAATAAAAATTCGTATTTTCTTTTAAAATTTTCATCCTAATCAAATTTATACAAAAATTTTATTTTATTTTTCTTTTCTTTCACTCAATTTTACTTTTTATCATTTATTTCTTTCTAATCAAACGGAACATAAGTAGCATGATAATTTATTTTAAAATGTGACATTTTTAATTCCTAAAATATACATGGTTTGTTATTAGTCCCTTAAATTTTAATTTTATCATTTTAGTTATCAAAATTGTCAATATAAAAAGTAAAATGATAAAATTAAAATGACAAATCCTATCCTAAATCTACTCTTTTCAACTCTGAAATAAGCAAACACAGCAATTCAGTTGGGGGCAAACCTGAAAGTTAATTGAACTGGCATTCAACTTTGAGATTCATTTTTATCTTCCCTGACCATAGCATTTTTTTCTTTCCACCTTCCGATTGAAATATTCTTCAAGACTGCCAATATAAGAAATACGACTTTGTTTTTCGAATCGGTACCAGAGCTCGACAGTAGAGATATGCTCGACGATCCAGTAGTCATTTCCTTGGTTGGGTTTGGGTTTGGGTTCCATTCTATCTATGAATTCTTTTGGCATACCAACAAACCCAAGAGTTTTGAGATTTCCGAGGTAGTGGATGCCAGATGGTACCTCCTTTGGTTGCGGGCTAGGCTCAATCTTGAGCTCTTCAAGAAGAGGCAATGCTCCTTCCTCTATTATCACCGAACTCAATCCCTTGCACCCTACCAAAGTTAGTGTCTTGAGTTTTTGAAACCTTTTGACCTCAAAATACAACTGCTCCCAATCATATGCATCCCAAAGCTGAAGATATACTAAACTAGGCAAGACTTGAAGAGCTTTTAGTGGATCATTCTTGGTCAAGCCTGAACACACTAGAGATAATCTAACTAGGTGTTGAAGTTTGGGGATCCAGTCGGGCAACTTCTCTAAACGTCCAGCTAAGAAGAGACGTTGAAGATATGGAGGTGGAGATGATGATGATATGTATTGTAAATCCAGAATCTCATCATCACTTGAGGCCTTTACACTCAAATGTTGAAGGTATTTCATCTTCTCAATGGCTACACATAGACCCCCCCATGTTCTCTTTCCAATTTCGTAATTCCCAACTTCCTTAGCTGCCTCAATTTCTCAAGCCCTTTAATTAGGCCATCATTTGTCTCCACATGCCACAAACTTTGCAGCTCCTCTAAACCCCCAATCCCTCCCTGTATCTTCACTCCTACGTCTTGACCTTCATGAGAACGAGCAAGAAGATGTCGCAACTTACGGAGCCTACCGATATCAAATGGGAGCTCTCTCACGAGGGAATCTTTCAGATCCAAAGTCTATAGGTTTTGCAACTTGCATATGGACTTTGGAATTATCCCCACATGTGTTCCCCGTATGCTTAGGTATCTCAAAAGAAATAGATTTCCCATTTCGTCATGAAGTTGATCCAAAGAAGTATCCTGAAGATCCAGTGTTTTCAAAAGCTTGAAATTTGCAGCTAGTGTACCCAATAAGGACTTCTTTATCAGCTCTCCCCTTTGAAAAAGAAAAACAGAACGAACTGGGGATTTGCTAATGCTTTTCATAACCTTATCCATGTTGCAGCAACTCATATGCATAGATAGCCGCCGAGTTGTGGCATCGAAACTTGAATTCTCTTTTTCCAAAATTTGACACAAACTAAACTCCTTGGACATTGAGAGAATAATCTCACGCACTACATCATGTATCCATCAATTTTTGTTGTTGACACTAGAACTAGGCGTCTATGGATCAGCTCAGTCAAGTATTCTTCTGCAACTTCTTCCAATGTTTTTCTGTTCTGCTTTTCAACAAAACCCTCAGTTATCCATAGCCGAATTAGTCTTCCAGCTTGGATAGAGTAGTCTTCTGGCATTATGCCAAAGTACAAGAAACAAGATTTGAGGTGGTGAGGCAGATCATTATAACTGAACAACAAAATTTTGCTAATGCTTTTAAGATTAGGATTCCTTTTTAACTCAGAGTTCATGCCATCATAGAATTTTCGCCATTCGGATATGTCCTTTTTTTTGGTGGACAAGAGACCACCTATAGCTGCAATTGCAAGTAGCAAACCTTGACACTTTCTAACAATTGCTTGTGATACTTCCTTCAACTGAGGGGGACAATCCAATTGGAAAGCTTTCTTGCAGAAGAGTTCCCAAGCCTTCTCTTCGGATAGGGCTTCAAGTTCGTGGACATGATCCACTGAAGTTTCTTTGCAAAATGTAGCAACTTGCTCACTACGTGTGGTGATGATTACCCGACTGCCGTCACTGTTTTTGGGTAAAGCATGTCTTATGGATCCCCAAAAATCAGTTTCCCATACATCATCAAACATGATGATGTACCTCTTTTTGGATAAATATCCTCTTAACTTGTCAATGAGTGACTCAATTCCCTCGTCGGGTAGAACATCGCTTCCCGATAGCTGCTTTATCATTTTTTTGAGGAGCTCCTCTGGCTTGTATGATTGAGAGATAGTGATCCACGCTTTGCAATTGAAGTGTGCGGTTTCTTGGCTGTCATAAATTTTCTTGGCAAGAGTGGTCTTGCCGATTCCACCCATCCCAACCACCGAGATCACTGCTCGTTGTGATTGATTTTTGTCAACCAATCTGCTTATCAGTTCATATCTGGGAGATTCAATGCCAACGACTTCGTCATCCCCTATGAAAAGGGAAGCCAGTCGCCACATGTTATGCTTGGTGATGCTGCTAGTGCTGGTGCTGCTATGTTCCGAGGAAGTACTAGTGCTGAATCCATATCGATCAACTCCTTCCTTGATCTCACAGATTGTAGTCTTGATGTCTTGGATCTAAGAAGCTATCTCATGTCGTGGCTTTAGCTTAGTGATCGTCCAAGTGACTTTATGCAAGGAACCAAATAGTCCAGGTTGTTTTGGCAAGACCAAGAGAATGTGTTCATCGATAACATCTTCTATCCGATAAGCAACTTGCCTTACTTGTTTCACCCATATTTTCACATATTCATCTCCAGTTTCTGCTCTTGATTCTGCATCTTTTAAGAAAGAATGTATGCGCTCCAATTCAGCTTTGATACTGACCATTTCCTTGCGAACACCCCTCAACAACTCTACTTCACCAGCTAACAATGGTCCCAAATATTGAATAACAGAGATCATTGCTCTTTCTACCATTAGTTCTCCCTGCATTGAACACATCATAACTATTAGTTCTGATTATTCTTCAGGTGGGATTGTGTCCATGTCAAAAGGAAGTTAGTTAGATGATGATGATGGTGAAGTTTCAATTCAGTGCATAGCTCTGTTTATCAGTTTATGAGAGAGGTGGTAAACTTCAGTCATGGAGAAATTAATTATTTTGGCCACATTTTCCTCCAAAAGGTTAGATAAAAGAATAGATTTGATTCACATTTTAGGTCTTGCAATAAATAAATAAATTAAACCTTTTATTATAATAGTAGTTTTTGTTTTTAATTATTTTCAAATTATAGACTGGCCCTTACAAATTTTTTTATTTTTTTTTTATTTTTAAAATAAGTGACTATCCCCTCTAGGTTTTTTTTTTTAGAATAAAAAAAGAAGTGAACACAACAATGATCGATGTTAACATATATATTTGAGTGTAAAGCTCTTGGAGTTTATGAATTAATGGAAAAAGAACCTCGGCTAGGAGGTGTGATCTCGAGCAGCTTGGAAAGCATGAAGCTTGAAGTGGACAGTAAAGTCCAAGGAACTTTGAGGTCGGCGAGTTTGATCTCGGACAGAGGGGCACAGATGAACGAACAGTGTAGGTTCCATCACCTCAGAATGCCGAGGTAATAGAACCTAGGGGGCAGTTATGGGGATATATTTTCTGAGTACCAACACGTGGCCAAGGTGACGCCGACGTGTCAGCCGAGATGCCACGTGTCCTGTTTGTTATGCCGAGGTCATCTCGGATAGGCCGAGATTACCTTCGAAGATATCAGAATCCGAGATAAGCGGATGAGGGGCAAGAGTCCTAGAATGAGAGAAGACTTCAGTTTGTATTGAGATAAAACTCTTAGAGAGTTTATCCTAATCTTACTGGGAGTCCAAGATTAGCAGTAATCCTGAGTCCATAGAAGTTAGGCTTCTATTGGGACTAGGTTTATGTTGGCTATAAAAGAGAGGCACCCCCATGGGTCTAAGGTATGCTTTTGATACTCAAGCTTGTGAGTTTAGCACTTGATTTATCTTTGAGAGATATACTGACTTGATCGTCGGAGTGCCCCCGGGTGGACGAACCACCGCCGGAATCTTCTCTTTTTGTTGTAGGTCAGCCAGGTGCCATCTATTCTGTTGGTGCTCTCCAGCTGGTTACTAAGCGGGCAGTGTGGTCAGAAAATCACTCACACAGGTATGTATATATATTTCCCTCAATCACCATTTAAATTCTACTATATGAGTCTCCTTTCACAACTCATGTATATAATATAATACAAGGTGATTTACTCTGGGAAATTTCATGGCTCTTTGATCTCTTTTTTCTGTGAAAATGAAGTTTTACTTTGTGTTTGGTTAGGGAATTTAGGGAGGAATTTGGAAAGAGAAACAGAAAAGGTGTGTGAAATTAGGTGAAATGTAGGTATATCTTATTCACATTTCTCCTACCTTTTTCTTTCCAAATCTATCCTCAAATCCCCAATCAAATACAACATAAGTAAATATATTAGGAAAGGACTAAGTACATTTAATCCATCTCAAAGAAGTCACTTTCATTCCAAATATCCTAATATGGTGGCTTTGTCTCAATTAAAAATCCAATTTCACAAATATCTTTAACCAAACCACTTGCCAAGGCATTATTGAATGATTAATTAGAACATAAGTGCTTATTTAGCCTTCAATTTTCAAACTTCTTCTTTTATGGGCAAAAATAAAAAAGTTATATTTTTTTTTTAATAATAATGGAACGTTACAAAGGGAGACAGAAAAACAAACTGAGGTGGGATAACCTCACCAACAATAAGACTGTACGAAGCATTTGTAAACTGCGAAAGAAATCCAAACAGAAAAGCAGAAAGTTGCAGGTTGGCAACACAAAGCTCTCTGCCATTTTAGTTTCATGAATCATATAAAAATAAAAAAAGAAATCAAATCTAATAGAGAGATCACCACATTTCAGATCAAACTAGTCTCTACCTTAGTACAAATACCAAGAAACAACCCAAGAGGCTATCCGCATTAAAACACAAAAATAAAAATAGAAAGGCCCTAAATTTAATATTAGAATACGACTGACCGATTCTTATTTGTGTCAAAATCCAAACCCAATAATTGTCTCACTTCCATGATAATGAATTTGTTCACACTTTTTTTTTGTGTATGAAAAACACACAAAATTTGATCGGTCCAAATATAAGACCCCATATTCAAATGGTATGTTTGATTGGGTGGATTAGAGTATGGGATTGAGATTATTAATCCGTAGGCCCAATTATCTTATGTTTGTTTTAACATTTTGATTTAGGATTATTAATTCAATGGATAATTAATCCAACAATTTTGTAGGATTATTAGTAATGAGGTAGGGGTGAGATTATTAATCCAATTGATATTAATCCAATTGGATAGTGAATACCACACTAATTTAATAAGATTATTAATACTTCATTACTAATCTTGTGAATCAAACGTGATCAAGAAGTGTAATAGCCTCACTTAAAATGGTAGATTCTACTATTTTACACCAATCAAAATGTATGTATGATAAGTATGCCAATAAAATCGGACTCCGCTTCCATATAGTAGCCAAAGGCTTTCTTCAAACCGTTATATTTCTATTGTTCCCTGGAATTTTCTTCCCATGAGGATACCATCCAAACACTTTAAAGCATGAAAATTAATTTTAAAGGTGGTACTATATGTAAATAAATTTCATAAAAATGCTTAACTAGTATCTATTAATGGGTTTCTAGGAGAGGTTGGATTTTGAGTTTGTTATTTCTGTTGTATTCACTCATTGTCTTATTCTATTATTGAGCAATAAATAATATACAAATAAATAGATTATTGAACTAAACATAAAATCTTATGTAGCCTAAAACATCAGATGAGGTGGGTGCATCCTTCACGTGCTAGATATAATTAAAACAACACTGTTACCATCACCGCTAAATTTGATTGTTGTTTTTTATTTTTTCCTTAGATTAGGTTGTTTGGGGCATAGATTTAGTTTATGGTTTAAAGTCCTAAACTATTCAATTTCAATTTAGGCTTTTTTTCCTTGTATGAGAACCAAAAATCTAGTGATGTGGATGTTATTTGTTCTGCATTTTGTAGAAATAGTAAAGAAGCCCACTTAGTGTTTTTTTAAAATTTTTTTTTTCTTTATTTTCAAAATTTTCTAAACCATGGGTGAGAAGAAATGAACAATGCTGAAACTACATTCAAAGTCACCAACACCGGCTAGAGCTCTGTTTTAACAGAGTTGGTTGTTATTTGAAGAAATGATTGCTAGAGCTCTGTTTTAACAGAGTTGGTTGTTATTTGAAGAAATGATTGTGATTTTAAACCCAAAACCATACATAAGATTTTTGCCCTAAAAATCAATTAAAAATTTAAGTTCATCTAAGACATTAAGAATATTCTAGGAGAAATCTTTCATCAAGTAAGCATTTGAGTAGCATGAAGATTAATTTTAAAGTTGGTATTTTATGTAAATGAATTCTAAAATATACACCTTGCAATTCCGTTGGAATCAAAGACTGAGATTCACTTTCAGATGTATTTCAGATATCATTCCATTAATGATTTACATGATTATCTGAAATTGAATAAAAATTTGACTCAAAATAAAATTTAGATGATTATCTGAAATTCAAAACTTTGGGAACGAAATTGACAAAATAAAATTTTTGAAGACCAAAGTAACACAGAATACATACTTTACGTGATTCATATGATTGTCTGGGGAGATAATTCCTCCCTAAAATACAATAGGAATTAGCAGCTGAACCAATAAAGGTTCAGTGGGAACCTAAACCTGGTTACTACGTTTCTTATGCAGAACATTAGCTCTATACTACTTAATTCAGTCACAATGATTTGAAGAATAAAAATAATAGAAAGAAAAGAACAAAAATAGAACTTAGAGAATAGATACAACAAAGAGGAATGTATGATCATATGTTTGTCCCAATTAAAGTTACACAATTGTGGTTATCACGAAATAAGTCTTGATAACAGAAATCCAAAACACTACCTTGGCAAAAAACAATAAAAACCATAATAAACATGTCCATCTTGACAGAGATGTCACACTTTTTACTTTGCAATCCAAAGGAAATAAAAATCAACGGTGATAGAAAGGGGTTTGTTCAATTATAAGGTGATTGGCAGCTTGGAGTACTTGAATTCTGGGTGCCATTGATTTCCCTTCAACTGTATGTGTTGCCAGTCATAGACCTAACAATTACAAAACACATACTAAATGTAAGGAGGTGCAACATATCAATGAAACAATGAGTAGTAAAAGTACTGGTGACTTACACTCCATTTGTTTCGCTAGAAAACATTTTGGGTAAATTACACCATTACTCCCCATAGTTTAAGCAAAGTGTCACTCTAGTCCCCATAATGGTGGTGCTAAGGAGTGATGGTGATGGTGGATGTCGTGGTGGTGGTGGTGGTGGTGTTGGTGATAGTGGCACTGGTAGAGTAGCAGCAGCGACGATGATGGCGACTGTGGT